TGCCAATAGCATCTTTAGGGTGGTTCTGTTGTGTGAGAGAAGGAGAGGGTATATGCAGGGAAGGAGTATTGTCCAGCCAGCAAGGGAGGTTGTGACTTAGCAGACCATATGTCAAAGCCCCAGGCCTCCCCTGAATACTGACAAATGGGTAACAGAAAACTAGTCCAACTCCCCTATGTGTTAGTCTAGTTAAAATAGGTATTAGATTTATAAAATGTGTTTAGTGTTCAGACTTTATGTAAGACTTGTAATTGCTGATTGCATTACTCTCACATAATATATCTGTATCCCATGTTATAAGGTGATATTAATTAAATGTTCTCATTGTAAGCCTCTGTAACTCAGCAACTTTCAGGAAAGAAGCTATGACAGGATGCATGCTCTGCACTGGCTCTTTAAGAGCAAAACCCCAGCCTGGAGCCGGGCTGGAAGCAAAGACCCAGCTGAGGCAGGTTGGGCTAATGAGGGCCCAGCTGGGGGCTATATAAAGGAGAGTAGCCCCTCACTGGAGGGGGCCCGTGGCTGGCTCCCAGGAGCGCTGAGGTGGCAAGGCAGGGTCTGGGGAAGCTCCCAGGTTGTAGGGCCTAGAGCGTGGATCAGGGCTAGGAGGGCTGTAGAGGGACAGCTGTGGTAAGCGGGGGTAGCAGGTCCACACCCCTTTGCCGGTGATGAGTGGCCCTTACAGACTGCAGTTTGCCCCGAGACGGGGGCTAGATGAAGACTGGCAGAGGGTCACTGAGGCAGGGTGGTGAGTCCACTCCCCCACAGAAGCATTGTCAAATGTGAAATACTAGTTTTACCATAAGAGGTGTTATCTCCTACCCAACAAAAGAAGGCCTATAGATGCTGGACTAAACATAGTACAACATCAGATAACAAAAGATTTTGATGACGGCTTACCCCATGCCCATGAATAGGAATAATCCATGTGGACTCACCTAAACAACTCAAATTCTGGGGGAGGGAATGAAAGTCTTTCATAAGATGAAACTATCTTACATAAGATGAAACTATCTTTAAGATGCTTGGATGCTGACAGGCAAGGATTACTAAGTATAAGTGTAACCCTTCTGCCGGGTAGGCCTGGCAGTAACTAGGGCTGGGTTCAATATCTTGGGGTCCATCTCACACAGAACCGGCTCGAGCCCCCACCCAGTAATCTGGGAAATTCTCACACCCCTGGGTGCCTCTGAGAGGCAATGCTTCCCCACTCGCAAGCACTGAGTCTGAGTGTAGGAAAGAAACATTTAATGAGACAGAGAGAGAAGTCAAACAGTATTAACTTGGGGAAACCATAACAAACAGAGTGCATAACCCAAATATGAGCTAAGTCCCCCACCCCAGCCAAGAATCACCTTAAGTCCAAAGAGTCCGACACCCCAAAAGTCTCTGTCCCTGGTCTGTGCCACCCAGAGTCCCAAAGTTCACCCGCAGGGTTTCACCTCCCAACCTGGGTAGAAATCGGGGTGGGAGGATGAAAGGGGGCACCTTAGGACACTCCGCCATGCTCCACCAACTGTCTCGTCCCGTGTCACCGGATGCTCCCCGCGTCCCCCTCCTCTGCCCCTTAACTGCCGCCCCTCCCCACC